TGTAATTTAAGTAAGTTCAAAAACCCGGGATCTACGGCAGCAATAAACAACTGAAGGCGCGAAGTGACAAGAACAGCTCTTGCAGGTCTGTGCTAATCACCCTCCTAACAAGCTTGGTTTGGTTCTACACTCTGAAAATAGGGGCAGAGAGGGAGCACGCTGTGATCTTCTGGGTACTCTGTGGAACAGCTCAGCCCTTTTAACCTTCTGAACTGCAAAAAATGATCTACAGGAACATCTTGTTGGTGATCCTTTAGAGAGCAACGCGCTGCCCGGCCTCTAAAGCGATGCCCTTGTGGGACGCTCATGTTGCATGTTACTGCTCGTTACCTAAATGAGATGTGACAGTTGCTTGCTGAAGCTCCTGGAAGACTTGCTGATAGTTGATGTGGGACATTTCCACTAGTCTTGTAATAAGCGGCGTTTTTGTCTGTCGCATCACGAGGTTGCGTAATTGTTCCGAAGCAACCGGCGTGTCTGCGCGTGGCGGCGTGACAGGGTCTTCCAGGGCACAGGCGTACAACTGCGGATTGTGAGCACATGCTGTCCTTAGCTGACCTGAGTTTAGAGCTGCTGTCAAAGGCAAAGATGCTCAGCCCTTCTTAAAATTAGTGGGTTTGCAGTGAAGTGCTGTCCTCCGGGACTGTGAACTATTCTGTAAAGATTAATAAGCTTTTATTTTCATGCAAATTATGTAAACTTGGTGTCTTGTATCTTTCAGATTCCTCTTGTGGCACTTCCAGAATAAGCTGTAAAACTGAAGGCATTGCTGTGACTATCAGGAGTTAACCTTTCTTTTAATGACCTAAGCTTAGACATCTAGGTCCATAGATGCTTTTATCGACGTTTAAAACAGGGTTTGACATTTGTGACCACTATGGGGTTATTTAAAAACAAAACAAACAAAAAACAATAAAACCTCTTGCATCTAACACTTGAATGGGGCTAATCAGGGGGTCATTTCAAAGAAGCCTTTGTAGGAATTCTAGGACTTCAGAAATAAAGCTGTAAGTAGAACAGGATTTTAGATTGTCCTAGAATTTTCCATATTTTTGTACCTATTCATTGCGTCAGTGGAGTAGAACGGCAATAGAAATGTTACAAAACTCGACTAAAAGGAAATAGGGTTGGCCAAGGATTAAAAGCAAAGCTAAATGTAACGCCCCTCAAGTTAACTGGCTTTCGCAGCTCAGTGCTGTCCTTTTCATTTCACCGACAGCAGAGTTTGGGTGGTAGAGGAGATGGAATACAGTCTGTGGAGTCCTGAAAAAGAGAACTGTTTTGTGTCTTTGTATTAAATGTTAACAAGATTGTTAAATAAACTAAGATTTTTTTTGTATCTCACAACCAACTCTGTGTTGCAGTTCTCAGTCCTTTACTTCAGCAAGCGGCTGGCAACTCTGAGCTGAGTTTTAGCACTCTTCTATAACAAAAAAGAAAAGTCCAGTGAAGCCATTTTCATCATTTACCTACACGTGAGAATAAAAGGGCAGAACATTTGCAGAGTGCGCTGTAAGACAGAATTAGTCTGACACATCCCAAAGGTGGGAACCTGGCTTTACATTGCCAAGAGCTTAGTCCTGCTGGAGCTTTTACCCTTTCACCTCTCTGCGTGGTAGTGCTTTTGCCCTGGGGCAACGTTAGCAAATTCAGGTGTCGTCGTCCCCCCCCCCAGTATTCAAATGAAAGTCTAAACTTTTTCCATTTTCATTTGAAGTTGACTTGTAAAATTTTTTCAATATTATGTTGGTTTATGAACAGTTTTCTTTACGAGCCCTGAACTCTTGGAATCCTATTGAGTGGTCCTGCCTTGCTTAGCACGTTGGGTTTCAAAGTATGTGGAAATTATAACCACTCTGTTGAATATTCATTAGGAACGCCTGTCAAATTACTGGTGATTTAATAGTGTTGTGAACTATTGATGTTGCGGATAAATTAGGTATTTAGCATGTTACACAACAAGATATTCTACTTTCTAGCCCCTTTATATACATATGTATATATATTTATGTAAATGTATGCATGTTTTCGTTAGGGATACGGAGTGCCAAAGGAGGGTATGGTGTGATGCTTTAACTTTTTGCACTGGGATTTGGAGAATCTGCATGGGGGAGATTTTTGGGACAGCTAAAACTCTACCAGCACCATAGTTTAGGAGAGAAGGCTCATGCGGTTCTCAGTCACCATTCGTCATTAAAACAGACTGGGTTTTTTTAGTTTGGGGTTTTTTTTAGTTTGTTTTTTTTTGTTGTTGTTGTAAATCTAGTTGTTGGAGTGTGGTCTTTCTGTTGTTTTTCATATTAAACTGCAGACTGCCCGTTACCCATCCTGGCACATGGGCACAGTTAACCCAGAGGGCAGCTGGACCGCACTCGGCTCCCCTCAGTGCTCTCGCACTCCGTCCCGGCAGCAGGAAGCTCCAGAAGGAGAACTGGTTTTGTCCTGCTGCCAAGCTCCCGGTGCAGGCATCTTACGGTGCTTCCAGTCCCATCAGTGGAGCAAGATTAACGTGGTGAGGTGGAAACAAAGCCGGCTGAGCCCTGAAGGTAGCACTGAGAAGTGTGGACTGACAAGTTTTATTTTCATTAACGCTTTGTATTTAAGCTGTGTTCTGGGAACATTTCATAAACATTCATTACTTTGAATGTAAAATACTAATTTTTGGCTGTACTACCAAAAATAGTTAAATTCCTCAGGTTTTAACCTAGTTTTATTTTTCATTCTTTCTGCTACTTTTGGGGTTTTTTGCTTTTGCTCTGCCTTAATTTAGTCAATTTAAGGCTTGTCTATTTCTTGGTGGCTTTTATTTTCATTTTATATTCTAGTAGCTATAAATAGAGCAACTACTTGTTAATCACCCAGATTTGTACCATTTTTTTTAAAACCTCTACATTATGCCAAAATAAACAACGTAGACATACAGAAGTCAGAGCTGACCTCTTTGCTTCATGGACTTTGCTTTTGCAGGCCGTCAAAAATGACGTTGAAGTAGGGCCTCCTGTCTAACACCTCCTGGCTTCCCATAGACTTGTATCTCTGTTTTCTCTTTTCCCTGGCAGACAGTATTTATGCTCTTTGAGGTTTATTTTTTGAGACCTTTACCCTGTGGGCCTCGTGGACTCAAAGGAGACCTGCAAATCAGTTCATTATGCAGGAAATGTAAGAAATGAGGCTAAAAACTGGGCTTGAGTACACCAGTGAAGGCAAAGTCCCAGGGGAAAAAAGAATTGGTAAGGTATGGATCACTTTAAAAATAGGTAAAAGGGATAAAAAGTAGTAAAGCAAGAAAGCGACAGGTAAAAGCCTCTCAAAGCAGCTGTTTTAGAAGCAGTACATGTTATAAAAATACATGTTTTTCAGAGGTCTCATGCGTCGGGTTTCTGTTCTAGCAGCCCTCCGTGGCCGAGTTATAAATACGATGTAAAACCAGCTGAAGGCTCACACCTTGTGAGGCTCACAGTGTGGTGGTGCGCAGCCCTTGCCATGAAGAGTTTTAGCAAAAAAAAGTTTCCTTTAGCAGGCCTACACGCCCTCGGATCAAAGTGCTGCTGAACGATAACCAGCAGTTCTAGTTTTCTCCAGTGTATTAGCAAGCTGTTTTTTTTATTTTATTTTAATGTCTGAATACAGGGTCGTGGATTAAGACTCTCTTGTATGAAATGCATGTTCAAACAGTCGATTTCATTTTGCAATATAATTTTAAACATACCTTGGAAGATTAAAAGGAGAAAAGATTTTATTGCAACAAGTAAATTACATGAAAATATTTACTTCCCAACTCTTGCAAAACAGATAGCTGACAGCAGTAGCTGTTTAAGACTTGGTTCATAATTTTACTGTGGAAAAAAAAAACAACCCTGATTCCCTCCCTTCCTCTTAGAATATGGTCTGCAAGGTGACATGGGTAATGAGTCAAGGGGTCTACTCCTGGGTCGTTGTAGAAATTGTTAAATCATCTCTCCTTTCAAACTAAGTATATAGAATGAAAATGAATTTAGTCTTAAATTTGAAAAATATATTTTGGCATACATAAAAATGAAGGTGCCTGCAGAAGAAGAAACCTTACGCTAGAAAGAGAACTCCAGAGGATGGTACCTGTCGGTGGTGGTCTCCTCTGCTGTGGCTGTAAAGGGCACGTTTGTGCCCGTGTGGGTATGTAGCTTTCCTGTGGTTTTCGCTCTTTATTCTCCTATATTGCAAATTCATTTATTTCAAGAAAAATATCTGGTAAGAGTTACATAAAATCAAGTTCCACGTGATTCATCCCTATATACTTTGTCTATTTTGCTATGTGAAGAGGCAGCAGTAATCTCAGATACAGTCAGGATTGGGTTTTGGTTTTTTTTTTGTTTTTTTTTTTTTTGCTTTAAATGCCCTTTTGTGTATGTGTCTACAGAATTTTATGGTACTTTATTACCGCTTTTTCCAACCAAGAAAAACATTGAGCAGACTGTCATGGGACAGGATGGGGCAGAGCCTTTCCGAAAGGAAGCAAGGGGTTACTTACCTGCACTCAGATATTATTAAAATAATGCTGATCCTACAGACTTTTAGTTTTGGTGTAGGGTACCTCTAGAATCGAGCTGTGGAGACTCTTCTAGAGAGTCGTGTAGCCTTTCGTCCTCTTAGAGGTACATATATTGCAAGTAAGAAAATGATGAAGGTCACTATAGGAATGAAATCTTCAGCTCCTTTTTTGAGGGTGCCTTCTATGGGAAGAAATCCAATAAAATCAAACCTTGAAAGGACTGGGTATTTCTCTAAAATTAGTTTTGCATGCTGTTGTAATAAAGGTCAGCAAATGGCACTTATGGCTAAAGTGACAAAGTTTCAATGTTTTAACTGTCCTTCACATTCATATGGCTTAACTGAAAATGTTGGCAGATATTCTCAAAATCCCAATATGCTATTACAAAATAAGTATTTAAATACAAAGTTCTAAGTCAAATATTTCAAACGTGATATCTGAAAATACAACTGAAAGTTGGCGTGGCAGTCGATGTCAGAAGTTCTTTGAAAGCTTCATGTCTGCAGATGTTGAAAGTAGTTTTAATGTAGTACTGCTAGATTTCAGAATCCGATGTCTCAGGATATCCGAGGAAGGATTTCATCCCATATAAAAGCCACAAGTATTGTACCTGAAAAGAGAAATTACAGAAAGGACCTTTAAATGTATTTGAAAAGGACGCAGCACTGGTATTGAAAGTAAACATTATGTGCAAGTATTTGAGTGTCTAACATGCAAAACAGCAGGGATTGCAGAAAAAATGGAATTTTCTGTCAAAAGAGGCAGAGGCGGTCAGTATTTTTATACTTTTATAAACCATCACAAAGAAAGCTTCAACAGACTATGCAAGTGATCCTTGTGAGTTAATAATCTTGGTTTTCTTTGTATATTTAATGTTTTAATCAAATCTGTATAAGCCAAGCCAAAGGCAGAGCAGTTTGACCAGGTGAATCCAACGCGTGTGCATTCCTGTTGCTGTATCAGGACTCCTTTCTATGTAGCTGGATGTATAAATGACTGAACCAGCTGCTAAACCGCCATTCCTCAGCCCACAGGATAAGGCTGTTTGCTAGCACTGTCTGTTTTGATAATCACATCAGTTTTAGGTGCTGCAAGCGGGTATGGGATAGTGGTTTTTTTTTCCAAAGATCATTCTAGTTTAAGGTTTATTCTGAAGCTGAAAAATGGTAAAGTTAGAGATTGCAGGTTCTTCAGGAGAATAATAGAGAATCTCCAGTTGGATGTGACCCATAAGGATCATCGAGTCCAACGGTAGCCACCTAAATACAGTTTATTAAGACCATTTTTTTTCTCCTGGAAAAAATGAGTATATTCTGTTTCAGAAATAAAGTAGGTTCTGGTTGACAGCGTTCCTCACCCATAGCTTGTATTTTATGAAGCTTCCTAGATCGCAAAAATCCTTATTGGAAGGGATTCTGCCTAGTCCAGTCTCCCACTTGGTGCAGGACTGTTGCCTAAGCTACTATTAAATAGGTCGGTGTCCTGGAAAACCTCCACGGATGGAGACTGCAGCACTTCTCCAAGTAACTTGTTGCACTCTTGCTGAACCCTTCTTTGGAAGGTTTTCCTGGAGTCCAGTCTTAACCTCCCACACCCGTAACTTGCAGCCTTGCTGTTACATTATCTGCCAGTCTCAGTGTTCCTGCGCATCAAAATGTGTTAGTAAGCTTTTTTTTGAAAAATTGCCTTTCCATGGGATATTTCTGCTATTTGTGGCAGCTTCTGAGGGAATTACTACTGACATAGCAATTCCTAAATAAGCAGAACTTTGTTCTCCTGAAGTCCAAAGTCCAACCAGCTCTGCTATTTACCTTCCCAGTCTTCCTTCCTCTGGACCCTGAACTCTTGTGAGGACTACAACCGAAGTGACCACATTCACCACCAGTTCTTCCCTGTTTGTCAGCAGGTCAAGTACAGGATTACCACTCACTGGCCCTTTAGTATTTGAGTTAGACTTGATCAGTGACAAATTTCTAGGAACTTCCCGGATTGCATTCACTCACTGCACCAGAGTTTTGCTCTGTCAGATGATGTCTGCATAGCTGAAAACCCTCAGGGGACCAGGGTCTGCGAGCAGGAGACTTCTGCTAGGTGTTTCTTGAGACCCTCCTTGGCTACCAAGTCTTCGAGATGCTGATCACTTCACTGCACGTGGACTTGCAATTCTTGTTGCTTTGCAAAGCTCCATGCTTAAGTGTACCGAACTTGATGGAAATCTCTGAATACCTTCTCTGAGCAGAAAGGTGAAAGTTTCACGTGTAGTCTCCTCCCTTGCTTACCTCCTTCATTTACATCTACTGCCAAGTGACTTTTGTGGAATTTATTTTCTATCCTGATGGTGAAAAAAAATTTTTCTTCTAAGGAATGGTATTAGTCTTTCTGGTAAAACTGATCTAAAGAAATGGGGGTTGATTCTGTTTTTACAGCGTTAGAAACCCAGCAGGATGCTAAGCTGGCACCAATAACAGGAAAGAGCATCCCATTTTATTGCCCTCATGTCCAGTATCTTGTCACCAACTCTTCCATTCATAGCTGCTATCTCCCTGGTACTGAAAAAAGCAGCGTTAGCTCGGTCCCCATCATTACTAATGGTATAATCATGCCTGGGCAGCTAACATGAATTCTTTTGGCAGTACAACAGAAACTATCTTTGTTCCACTGCTACTTATTGCTTCTGTGTGCACGGTGCAGAATTTAGGCTTGCCTATGCTAAGTCATAAACACTTGCCGACATCTGTATTTATGACAGGAATGAACTTTTTTAATGCTAATGGAGAATCACCATCAGTGAAGCCATTCTGAAAAATGAGTTCTTAACTACAGTTCCAAGATTATATTCATGAAAGACCATAAGCCACCAGTAGATTTGTTTGTCCTAGAAGAAAACTGCCCCTTCCTGCTCCTCTTGTGAAGGTGGTAATCAATCTTCCTCTTGTTCTATGAAAATTGCTTTAAAGTTGACAGTTAATAACTGGCTTACGGCTACATCAGGGTACCCTTTATATTTGGAATGGTCTGTCTCCTTGTCCTCATGCGTATTTGCTATGCCCATACATGAGATCATATTGCACTTTGCACAGGCAAGTTGAACTTTCATGGCATGGTAGTCCATGGTTCTGCATACGGTAGCTGTTACAGCAAATCACAAAAAAAAACCCTAATAGACTTCCCCAAAATAAGAACAAAGTAATGTAACCATCTAAGATACTGATGCTGGAAGCGACATCAAATTTGTGTATCACTATGCCTCTGCCAGTTTCTAGGAAGTCTGAAACAGTATTTCTGTTGACACATGGATTCTGAAAGTAATTTTTATAACTAAATCTAAAATATCCCTTCCCATATAATCTACTTTTATGATTCTGCTTAGAGGTTCTTTTCACAAGAATTTTATTATCATCATAACAGGTCATTTTCCCAGATGCCTCATGATTTATTCTGATTTTGGAAGACAGACATCTATTCCTATTATTTTCTTATTTCATTTCATGTTAGATTTGTAGTTCTGCGCTCCTGTATTCATCAATTCATTTTCAAATATAACAATCTCCTCTATACTTCCACCTCAGACACCTTACATTTGTTATTTTATAAACCAAGAGTTGTAAACATCTATATGAAGCACCCTTGTTTTGTAATGAGGTATTTATATTACCAATTTATATTACCAGCCCTTCAGGTGATCCACAGACCTGAGATCTGTAACAAAATGTTTGGCTACAGTAGTGACACTGCACAAAAAGTGACGTGTCCTGAGTATTCATATCTTTACAATGCTTGGTCTGGAGTTCCTTTCTCTCATAAATTAGGAGACAGCATTCAATATATTACAGAATCACAGAACAGTCAGGGTTGGAAGGGACCTCTGGCGATCATCCAGTCCAACCCCCTGCCAGAGCAGGGGCACCTACAGCAGTTGCACAGGAACACATTCAGGCGGTTTTGGAATGTCTCCAGCGTGGGAGACTCCCCCACCTCTCTGGGCAGCCTGTGCCAGTGCTCTGCCACCCTCACAGGAGAGAAGTTCCTCCTCATATTAAGATGGAACTTCCTATGTTCAAGTATGTATTCTGTACGTATTTTCTATACTAATGATAAACCACTGGTTATGAATTTTCACAGAAATGTAACATTAATCTCTAATCGCATTCTAAGTTCCTTGTCATAGTTCCATTTATGTTAACATCTGCTGATGTTTTCTTACTCAAGCTGAAATCACCTGAAGGCTCTCTGCAAAGCAGTTCTGCAGGATGCATCTTGTTAAATAAGTAGAACATGGTGTTTCAAGAACACCTCCTGTTTCTTTAGATCACTTGCCAAAATATTAAATCCCAAGTGCTTACAACCTGGGAAATCTCAAAATGGTTATCAGGTTGAAATCAGTTAATATACCAGAAAGCTAAACCTAAATTCTGAGAAATATCATGTGTTCTGCTAGGACCCAGGTGATGCTCATCAGCTTTGCCTAAGACATTTCATTAGCTGTTAACTGGAACAGTGCATGGGCTTTTACCAAGCTTACTCCATTGTTCAGTCATCCTGTTTAGGTATCTAATTTAACAGAATGGTATTAAAATGAATTTTAGTTAGACTAAGAACTGTGTCTCTCTTTTTGACTGACTGAGAGTCAATACAAGTAAACACACAGACATGAACTCAAAAAAAGTTATCTGTTATAACTGAAACCCTTTCAGATGTTTTATCTGTGTGTTTCACATGCTGTTGTACCTTCATCACTGTTGTACCTTCTAATAGGATTAACAGTCATGAAAAAACTCGGGATTAGCCAGCTGCTTCTTTATATACCCTCTAAGCAGAAAGCTCAAGATTTGTAGGGACTAACTACAAACAATCAACAGCGTGAAGTATTACATAGAGCATTTTCATTTGCACACAACGAGGAGTTAAAATCAATAGCTTCCAAATTAAAACCATAGTTTAAGTTAGAAAAAATCCAGTTATGGATATTCCTTAAACTAAGAACAGATTGTTTCCAACAGTGATTGGGGGAAAAAAACCCTCATAGAATGGGAACTGCAAAGTTCAGACATTACAGAGATAGAAGAGATTTTATATTATAATAGTAATAATTGAGAAAGCACATTTTAAGCGCTTGTCCTAATACCTGTGGGTGCATACTGTCACAAAGCAAGGCAGAAACTGCATGCTAACCAATACGTTTCTCTTTTTGAGCTTAATCAGGCTAATATTTACTTTCTGGTAGCCTTTTCTGGTTTAATATTCTGCTAGAATCTACAGGTGGGCCTTTGGTCAGTGTGAGAATAGCATACCTCAAACAGGCTGGATTTCAGTGCCAAGGCATGAAGTGCCAAACAATAGGCAGCTTCAAAAGGATCACGCTCCAGAGCAAACAGCTGTTGGTTCATAACTAACTAGTTAACTCTAACCAAAACACAAACATTTTTCCATTTAGAATTGTGTTGTTGTAGTTCTTTGGTAGATCCATTATCTTGCTTAAAGTATCCCAAAAATACTTACACTTTGAACATATTATTATTATATAACCTAATATGGTTGTTTCCTGATCAAAACAGTAGATACTATTTTGTGAATAAAAATGATGTTTAAAACTCAGTATTAGATGCTTGATTCACAAAACAGTGTTACAGGTGCTCTACATAGAGCGTTAAACAAGTTTAAAATATGTTGCTTATGTTTGCAACACAAAACCATGATTCTGAATGACTTCTACACATAAATTATAATCGACTGTTTTCTGGATTTTATTTAAAACAGAAAACGAGCAGGCTGTCAAACAAAGACTAGCCATTTTTTGAACCATGTACTTTTCTCAGATAAAGTATTAAGAACTTACCTAAGCATGGTGCTATCCAATACACTAGTGAATAACTCAAGAATTTGTCATAGAAACAATTTGGATGTAATGAAAAAGCCAATGCTGGGTTAAATATTGCTCCTGTGAGATTTCCACCTGCAATAAAATATAAACAACATGAAATCAAACCATCTTTCTTAATGTTTGTTTTAAATGAATATTGAAATGCACACACACAATACTACAAGAAAGGCACACTGCAATAAAATGAACTGGCAGAAACCATTTGAACAGATGAACTCTTCTGAAGTTATTTACAAGATGATATGTTTAACAGTTTAACTGTTTTCTAAAATGCTTTAAAATATCTGAAGTGTAGGCTATAACTTCCTTTATCTCTTTCTAGCAAATATTCTTTGAAGAGATGGGTTTGGCTAATGTTGAATGTTTCTATTGACAAAACAATAAGCTGCTTTATACAGTCTGCATCACGCTTTTAGAAGAGACAGAAATTACGCAAATATTAGTAAACAAATACTGAGCTTTCATTACATGCCCATGCTGCACGTAAGGCATACAGTGGGATAATGGAAAAAAACTTTCAAGCGCTGTTCTTGCTAAACTGACCTCTATACTTTCTTAATAAAACACTAATATTATCATATCAATTTCTAGAACACTAAGATTCTCATATGGTAATAACTGTGGGAAAAGCCTTCACAGTCATTCTAGATGTTATCTGAAGAAAATAAAAGCAAACCCCAGTCCACTCTCTTCAGAAAGGAAGCTGAAAGAAGCCAAGCATCTTTCCTTGCCTCTGACTTCAGATTTAAATGAAGTTGCCCAAACATCCTCTAAATAACTAGATCCAAACATATGACATTGTGGGGACTAAACTGTAATTATGCTGCAGATGAACCTGGAGGTGTTTTTAATTCTGACATATGTTGTTCCTCTCACTGCAATCCTGCATAGAAAGCATTACTCATAGCAAAATTATCTGTATTTCTGTATTAGTTACCACCCAATCCAAATCTGTTTTATCTATTAATCTATTCCCATAAAAGATAATTTTGCCTATTTAGTTTCTTAAAGCTCATTCTTGATTTTTGCCAAATAAGATAGCATGAGCTTTGAACTTAGGCTTTGTACCAATACCACACTCCTGTAATCCTCATTTGTTATAAGTATGCAATCATTTACCGAAAGTTTGGTCTTTGTTACTCTCCTGTATTTCGCTTTCTACATACTCATTATTTCTTTTACCATTATTACAGTTCGAGAAGGTTTTAGTCTTTGTTGACCTACTCAGTTTACTCTGCTTTTACACTTGTTCTCAACAGCAACTCAGATTTACTGTGCAGTCTGTTATTCTGCATGCTGACACATTAACAACTTCCACTGTTGCCAGGAAGGCCATCTACAATAATTTACTTTGCTTTAATCTGTTTATAAATTCACTGCTTCTGCTTTTATACCCACAAGCACATATTCAAGAGCAGAATTTCACTCTCGGGAGGCAGTTGCAGTATTTCTTCAACATTCATTACTAGTAACTACCGGAATATCAACCATAGGCCAGGGCCATGAGTATAATCTTATTTGAAAATATTTATTAAACATCTCAGTCTGTGTACCAGAAAAGATAAATGATTTCATGGCAAAAGAAATGTAACATCTCTGCTGTTGTTACACATAAAAACTTAAAAAGGTGAAGTAATGTGGGCTCCACGCAATGTGTGAGAAAGTAATTTTAACTTTTGGAATTACTAAAGGCAAAACCACAATTAGGAAGACACTCAGAATTAAAAGTATGTACGCCATTTTTGCCTTGATATATTAGACTCAGAATCACTTAACCAATTTCATCCAATTCTGACTTCATTGCAATATTTCCTGTAAATGAAAAAGTCTTCAAAAGGTGTGATTTTTTGCTTCCCCTAATTAATATTTTCCAAAAGGAAATATCCAAAAATATTCTTTACCAACATGTATATGGTCTGCATCCTTAGCTTCTGAATCATTCCCTTAATATGCAAAGACATAATATTCCCTTTTTGCTTCTATTTAGTAGAAGAAACAGAGCAAATGCAGTATTGGAGCTTTTGCATACAGTATGCACTATTATAAAAATCTGCTCTGTGTAAGACTAAATGTAAAAAAAAAAAAATCCAAATATTTTTAACTATGAAAAAGTAGAAGAAAAACTGAAGGAACATCATGTAATTTTGAAAATACTGTATAACCTGATGTAAGTTGCATGGCATATTTAAGTACCTTTTATGGGGTACACACAACAGTAACCCATCAACATTTATTTTTTCCAACAACTTCACTTAGTCAACCCTCTAAAGAAAACTGAATGTTTTTGAGCCCTGTATGTGTATCAATACAATTAAGACAGGTGTAAGCCACACGGATATGGCTATCCTTCAAAATTTTACCCAAGCCAAACTGGAGCAAGAGATAATCCTTCTTACAGGGCCTTTTTAGACAGCAATCATTCCTCTTACAGGATACAGCTTTCAAACTCATAGCAGAACACAATACACGGAATGAAATATGATAACGTTATGTACGAGACGTATTTTCTAAGACTTCTGGTTCATTCCTAACTGTAATCAACCTGGATCCTGAGGGCACACTTGATTTGTTTTTTAAAATCAGAGTGTAAAAAGAAATCATTAGCATGAATTTCGTTTTGTAAATTTAATGCATCTTTCTGAATTTCTAGCTAGAACACCGTATCTGTCAAATAAAAGTTTGAAAAATCATTATTCATACAATAGTCTAAACTATTTGCTATTTTTGTCGGAAAAAGAATGAATGTTACCAGTTTGCCTAAATTAGCATTGCTTTTCCTACATTAGTGCTGGCTGCCTGGCCCTTTGGTACTGGGTAAGCAAGAAAGATCCATTCCTCTTAAAGAAGCGCTCAAGTTTCTTATAAACAGTTAACGAAGAGGCGCAGAAGATTTCCTGAGAATGATGCAGCCCAGCTAAAAGTTAAGCATCTGCCTGTATTCAAATCTTGCAGACGAGAACTTCGCCTGATGAAGGCCGCTAGCCATAACACCCGATTTGGAAGTCCCTCTTCCTTCAGCGTGTACAAAGCACTGTTTCTCAATCTGGAGGTGGTGGAGGCATGGTTAGGGCTACGCCACGAGACCCGCAGGATATACTACAGGTGGTATATATGCGCCAGACACAGGTGACGGCTGCCTACCAGGCCCTTCGCTACTGCCTCAGCTACTCTACGTGCTGTCAGGAGGATGTGCTGAGCGGCTGTGGGAAGGGGGGGTCCTCAAAATGGAGGGGGCAGGAGAATGGAGGATATCCTGGGGAATGCTTGTGTGTAGGTGTGAGCACAGGGAAAGAAGCAGCAAGAAAGGTTTGAGAACCTCTAAGAACCTCTACATGTACCTACCTAACCTGCCACTGAAAAAGAGATCTGTTACGGTGCAAGCCTGTGACTTCATCACAGAAATAAATTAATAGCAGCAGCTTGCTCCCACACTTGCGTAATAGCTCAGTGACAGGAATCTTGGGGTTTAGGTGCTCTTCTGCTTCAGGAGGCTTCAATCCACATCTCAGGAGTGCACAGTAAACACCGGGCTCATGACTACTGCAGGGGGAGGATGGCACTCCAACCTTCCTAAGGTTTGCTCTCTTTGCTGGACACCCAGTTTCAAAAGGAGTGGTGAACCTCTTTTTCTTCTTTTTTTTTTTTTTTTTTTTTTTTTTTTGGAAACTGAGCGTACAGCAAAAAGAGCAAACCTTAGGAAGCTTGGACCAGAGTGGACAAGAGAGAATTTGATTTTCCACTAAGGAGAGAATAAAACTAAGTTCAGGATGCGCTCCCTGGAATGCATTTATATTTTTACAGTAGACTTGATTCTAGATTTAAAAAAAATGGAAAGAAACATGTCCAGATAGCACAGGGTGATCTGCACACGAAACAGCACAAACTGTGCATGTGCAAGAGGCTTGGGCACAGTTGGACTGCTGTTTCCTAGAAGTACATGCAGATCGATTGCACTGGATAGTCATAACAAGTCCAAGTTTATGACAAGGAAGGGGACGTGGTACGCAGCTTTCTCCTGCTAGAAAAAGATATGAGGCCAGCCTGGCCAACAGCACTGGGCATGAATTCTTTGCAGGAACGAGCGAAGAGAAAGGCAATGTGACACGTATTATTTTATAGGACTATTTGCTAAGCAGGAAAGGAATGTTAAGAATTAGGAGTTCAGCTTTCTATGCTTGTAGAAGAGGCAGAATAATCTTTGGCTACACTTTTACTGAGCAATTCAGAAATATATTTAGTGTGCTAAAATGGATTGACACCTTGCCGCTGCCTTCAAAAATTAGTTTTAGAAAGTAGTTCAAATTGCTAAGTTAATTCTCAAAAGTCTCCATGGACTTCTTTTAATCTTTCAGTTATTAGCTAATTTCAGCTAAACATAATGAGTAAAGGTTTTTTCATTAATACATCTGAAAATTCAAATGTACTTTAATCTACTATATGCTGTTATATTAGATAGCATAATACAGTTAAACCTTTTGGACAAAACATCCATGACATCCCAGATGTTTGCAGGTAAAAGAGTGATCTCCTTCTCTCATAAACGGATTTGATAATTTCCTAGGTGACTTTCTCTGTGGTGGGGGCTGCAGCACAAGCAAGGAGCTCCGTAACCATCCCTCTCTCTCACCTCCTCACACCCCAAACTACAGAATCTCCATACAATCTACTCCCTGCAGGGCAGTCCTCAAGTGACATTAACTGTGGCACTTCACTGGGGACAAGAGGCAGCATCAACAGTCAGCAGAATGAAGTTCAGACTGACTCCTCTCACTTCCTCCTATCCACTGTTTCAGAGAGGCTGCGCAGGTGACAGCGTCCCAGCTCTGGGAAGCATGAGGTGACAATCGGGCAGAGACAAGGACACAGCCACAAAGGGTACTACAGCGACAGGAGACTTGTAAATGCACCTAATATTTTTCTTTTTTTTACGTTTGGTTTCATGAGGTCTTCTGCGTGCATTCTACAAATAGCCATACCTGCTTCTGATTTAAGGATTTAACACAGTTAAATAAACTGCATTGATATGAATTATGCATTATTTAAGCGCCAAACTTCCGTAATACCAGTCTGTACCCTGCCGTTGCACAATCAGCATTTTTTCCTGATGCAGACAGCAGTGCTCTCTCGCAATGCCACTTAGAAATCAAAGCACATTGTATGAAATCTCTCACGCTATATAAAGTCGGATTATGAAACGATCCTTCACTGAGATATTTGAACAGTGTCCTGTGAAACTCTTAACCATATTTACTTGTAGATTTGACATTGTTTTAAATTTGTAACTCATTCCATTCTTAACCCCACACACCTGCCTGCAATCTAGCCAGGCAAACTTTACATAAACTTCAAATGAACTCCATATATGTAGGACCAAAGACTTTCCTTGATGCATTATTTGTCATCTAACAAAAATAGTTTTGCATCTTAACACTTTAAAGAATATAAAAAAACCCTTCTGTTACAACTTTATTGCAGGAACAGAGGGAAAAAGTAAGACTGACCTGCATACACGAGCATGGTGATGAGAAGAGCGATCAAATGGACTTTGTATTTGGGATTAATGCTTTCCACTCGCAGGACGGTCAGCTGGAAAACGACGGAAAAGAGCAGTTCTATGCAGAACGCCTGTGCCTCTGTAGTCTGCATGGGGTTGCTGCAGCCTTGTGAGAGCGCTCCAAAATGTGGCTCTGCCATCTCCAGGCGCCAGATAAAGTACATGAACACCCTGGCAAGCACCGCAGCCACGAACTGAGCGCCGATCTTGAGTCCACCCATCTTGACCGACGTCCCACCGCCCCACATCGGCTGCAAGGTACCACAGGGGTTGCATGTGCTGCCGGTCAGAGTCAAGCCATGCAGGACGGTGAAACCGTAGGTGAGCGTGAGGCCGGTGTGCGGCTTTGGCTCCACATTGCCGAGCAGGGAGAGCTCGTTAGTGCAGGCGCAAATCTGGAAGGTGCTCAACATCTCCAAAAGGAAAGTGCAAAGGCGCTGGCGGGTGCGCAGCCGGCGGCGGGTTAATCTCCTGCACAGCCCCACCGTTACCACGATGCCGGCCATCAGCAGGAGCGAGGTCCCGACCCCACCGACAGCCATGGCGAGAGTTTCACAGGCCCAAGGGCTCCAAGGAGGAGTTCACCCTGCCCCAGCCCCCACCACCTACGGGGGAGAAAGAAAGGGGGAGAGGGAAGGAAAATAACCTTTTCCCCTTCGAGGTAGGAGGCAGCTTCTGTCCCCACCTGCTCGCAGCCTGCCAGACTCTGACTCACCCTCCGCTGGACGGGGAGCAAAGGGCAGGGGAGCCCGGCCTGACAGGGCTGAGGGCAGGGGGATCCCTCCCCCCTCCTCTCCCCGCCAGGGATGGGGTGAGGAGAAGGAAGGTCTCTCCCTCCAGAGGAAA